CCTGGAGAACAGGTCTGATGAGGAGCGGCTGAGGGAACTGGGGTTGTTCAGCCTGGAGAAGAGGAGGCTGAGGGGAGACCTTATCGCTCTCTGCAACTACCTGAAAGGGGGTTGTAGTGAGGTGGGTGTTGGTCTCTTCTCCCAAGTAACAAGCAACAGCACGAGAGGAAATGGCCTCAAGTTGTGTCAGGGGAGGTTTAGATTGGATATTAGGGAAAATTTCTTTACTGAAAGAGTGGTCAGGCACTGGAAGAGGCTGCCCAGGGAAGTGGTGGAGTCACCGTCCCTGGAGGTGTTCAAAAAACATGTGTATGTGGCACTTGGGACATGGTTTAGTGGGCATGGTGGTATTAGGTTGATGGTTGGACTTGATGATCCTAAATGTCTATTCCAACCTAACGAGTCTATGATTCTATGAAGCCTAGTTAACACACTTGCAACTTAGTATGTGCTTAAGAAAAGCCTTTCTTTCTCTAACCCCATTAAAATACACGAACACAGATCAAGAATTCTTGAGTATTCCCGCCCGTGACTCGTAGCATGCAGGCTTCACTTACCGTACCGTTTTACTGGAGACGTACGTTACTGAAGAGAAGCATTATTCTTCTGTATCTTTCAAAACCTTGCACATCTTCAGGTCCACTGTCACAAACCTATTTGCTTTAATTAAAATCTCTCCTGTGTTAAGACAGGCAATCACAAATAGCAAATAAAAATACTTCAGTAAAAGTGGGTCTGTGGTTGTTCTCTAGCGGTGCTGCCGTGTTTGAGGTTAGCGACTCCCGCCTAGCGAGCAGGAGCTGCACAGAGTTCCTCGTCCTGCTCCATCCCAGAAGAGACGCCAGAACCGCCGCATCAGCGTCCCAGCGGTTCTCGGCGTCCCGCCCATGGCAGCAGCCAGCACCAGGCAGGGTTTTCAGAAGCAGCAGCGGGCAACAGGCAGTGACAGCGAGCAGGCAGGTTTCTCGTTCACCTTACCAGTGAGCAGCAGTTTGTTGCACCCAGAAGAATCAGAGGAAGCGAGGATTAGGTTTATAGCAACCAGACTCCACCAACACTGGCACGTTTGGCAGTAGTGGAAGGCACAGCCTCGTCACAAGACCATCTCCCCCTGCTAAATTTAGGAGACTGCCCCCAAGACAGGGATATCAAAGCACCTGAAAATGAAGCCGTTCTGAGGGTTTTTAACAGAAGAAAAATAAAAGCATTTACCAGCCTTGCCCTTAGGAAAGGCTCAACTGCTTTGACCAAAATAAAACTCAGCCTAACAAACAACAGCCTCTCTGTCCACATGGTTACAACCAAGGAAAAGGTCCAGAACGTAGCCTGCGAGATGCCTGCTCTGCCTGTAGGTGTGTTACTGCGGTCTGAGACAGGATTACCTTCTGCTATTTGAACGGCACGGAATTTATTCCAATTCAGACTTTCTCCTGAGATGTACTAAATTAAGTTAACCTACTTCAAATGGAACAACTTTATTCATAAAAACATTATCAAAACATTAGGTAGGGAGAATGAAACCCAGGGTTTCAGAGGCGAGCTGCAAAACCACACGGGCAACCCACCTCACAGTTAGTGAATCATTATGATCAGTTAAGTTACAGACTGGAACTGCGGTGAGTGAAATGTGATGAGCAATTTACCACTGCTGACAACTCAGAATAATTAATTGTATAAATGACAATAACATAATAATTTAATTTACAATAAATAATGTAATTATTTTCATAACATCTACTCTGTGAGCAGGTTCTGCCCAAGTATGTAGAAAAAACATATACTCCAAAAAAACCCCCCACATCTGAGAAGCCCTTAATTAGAACAAATCTATCAACCTCTGCAATAAATGCCTGGACACCATTAAGACAGGAGTTTCTATTCTACTGTGCCCCCATCACAAGGCCTTGCTAGCTACTGGATGGCCAAGAGATTACTTCAGCTGTAAAGACCGAGACAATGAAGTACAATAAAATTAATCAACAGAATTTGATTAGGAAGGAACAACGTGAAACACTGACTCCTTTGAAATCTGAGGGTCTCAAGTACCCCCCAACAGAAAACAAAGAGCCTAATTTCAGTTTAAAGAAAAGCAACCTTTTTCCAATTCGAACAGTACACAAGAACTAGACTGCTGTTCCCCTATAGCTGCCGTCCTGGATTACACCAATTGCCCAGGAAAACGGGCACGAAGAGGGGGGTCCATGTACATGCACAGGGAGAGAAGAAAGGGCTGGAAAGCATTGTTGGGAGTTTAGAAAAATCCAACAAATAACCAAGTATTTTTCCTTCCCTAACTTCCTTTTCCTAGATCGTTTCTACGATAAAGACCTTCACAGACAATTAATTTCCAGGATGATTTATCAAGCTATAAAACTATCTGTAGCCACCTCTACTACGAATCTGCGTACACTTGGCAGTGTTTCTCAATAAGGCAGAACATTCTGCAGCTAATCTGAGAACCCCCATTAAATCGAAATTAAACAGTTTCTGTGGGAGTCTGTTAGAGATAAGAGAGCTCACAGTGATCTGTTCTTGCAAAACCCCTTGAGAACCACTGACTTTAGACACTTCCATACGAAGTATCATTCTAAACATGGGATGAAGCCAAAGCAGTGTAGTTGCCCAAGTAGAACATTCTTAACTCCTCCCCGGTATATGCTCCATAAGTCGCGAGAGACTGGTTTTATTTTATCCACCTCGTAACACGTCTTCCTTCCTGCCCTCTCATACTCACACACTTAAATCACTGAACAGACGTGAACGCGTTTCTGGTACGTCCTTACACTGGGAACTGGAGAATGATCAGTTAGTCAACACGTTAAACGAGCGGCAAAAAGGCAGCAAGCGACTTCAGACCACACCCGCCCCGGCCTCTGAGAGCTGTAGGCACTGTTGATGGGCACCACGAGACGGCCAGCGCTGCACAGCGGAACAGCGGGTTTTGACAGTTAAAAGTGCACACAAAAACTACCTCTACATTGAAATATACAGTTTATTTTCTCAAAGTCAAGCAATACCATATGTCAGTAGGTAAGTGTTAAGTGTCAGGCAGGAAAACTGTACATTTTCACTCTGGGCTGAAGGATCCAAACAGCTGGAGAAACACAGTGGAAATCTTTCACTATACAAACAGATCTGGAATTGAGAACAACACAGGGTGAAGAAACAGCCACCCCCAGGATGCCAAAGGCAAAACATTAGCACCAGATTTTTTCAAAAAGCAACAGTATAGCTATTTACAGATTTACATATAGCATTAGTAGGCATCCATCTTCAGGTTCCCAGGGTGCGAGACTTTCAACAGTTTTAAAAAAAGGAAAGGAGAGAATGGTGTCTACGGAACTGTTCTGTGAAAAGGAGAATATATATATATAGCATTCACAATATTGCTACCTTTTATCAGAAAGATCTAGATCAAGGTACTGTATACAAACACATTGTAATTATATTATTATTCACATTTCACATACACGTTTCAGAGTAACCACAATATGTAAAATTTTCAAAATGCCACAGATAAAACAATGCACACTTTTCTCCAAGCTAAAAGACAAGCATAATTTATTTGGGAATTGTTTAGTTTTGGGTTTGTTATGGTTAAGGGATAAGTTTAAGGACAAAGGGACCACCTGTCCTAGGAACATAGCAGCATATAACTGTGAGATGCCAGAAGACTACATTTCTGAACTAGGAGGGAGAAACTAAGGTCAGCTGTAGGTCTTGTAAAACGGTGGCTCCACTTGACCTCAACTGACACGCATCAACATAATTTCATTAAAGATTTGGTCCAGGTATACAAAGTAGTGCACGATAAGGGGAGGCAACAGTCCTTTTAACGTTCGCACCAGTCTGTAAAGGAACTGGTCTCAGAAGAGTTTTGCTCCCCCGTTCCCCAACTCGCCAAGAATTCGCTGATCAGCACCTCTCTGGTTCTCTCCCCACAAGAGAGAGGATTCAGGTAAGGAGGACAGAAAACCCTTTGTGAATGCTGCCACTGCAGGAACAGCGGGAAGAATTCTTTTCTCTCGCTTTTCAACACCTAACTACTTGTATTTTCAACCTGCTTATCTGCAGACTGGCATTCACATCGGCCTTCAAAATGGCTTCTTGTTCGGCAACCTGTTTGTCTACGGAGAGATAAATGTTTTCCTTACTACAACGTAAATGGCACAGACACGAAGTCAGCCAAGACTTTCCTTTGCCTGCAAAACTTTATCTTAACATAGAACTTGACATTCAGGCACTACAGAATTTCTCTGTAGGTATCTGAGCAAGTCAGCGTAACCTATGACTGTGCTAAACCATGAGTTAGCACCTCTTTTCAGAGCTCCTGGAAATCATCTGTTACGAGTCCATGGCAGTATTATGAGAACACCACCAGTATCTGATACTGTGAACTAGCATCCTCTCATTTCTCATTGTGCAATGGAGAAAACAAACAAACAAACCCCACTTATGTTCACAGTTACAAAGCAGAGCTGCTCCAAGAAGCGCACGGTATTTACAGGGCAGAAGTGTTTATATTGCATTTGGCAGTCTGAGAAAGCCGAAAGAACGAACAGCATTACGTAGGTGAACTTCAGTATAACTTAACTGTCTATATAAAACCATCACGATGTTGAGCAATCAGAAGAAAAATAGAAGCAGCGTCCTTAGCCTACATTTATTTTCATAAAGTGGAGTGGGTTTGGGGGAAGAAGAATATAAACATGCATAAGAAGCACAAGAAAGAGCAAATGAGCCTTCTAAATAATTTAGATGAGAAATGTTTTGAACAAAATCAGCACAGTTCTTCCAGCCTGTTTCTTAAATCAAGTACAGCTTGGTAAAGAAAATTACTTGCATTGCAGTAAGAGGGTGTACAAATACGTCTTGCAAAATAATTTAAAAAAAAAAAAAAAATCTTCAGCAAGGTAGTCATTAGGTGATTTGCAAGCTGGTTTAAGAAGTGTTTAACTGAGACCGATTTCAAAGTTATTTTCTGCCAGGGGAAAGTGCCATCCTATATACAATACTACAAAAAAAGTGTCTGATGCCACAGGATCAGAGTGACACTACATTTCAGCAATCTGAATATATTAGCTATAAGATGCACGCTTCCCCTATTTAATGAGTCTTTTAAAAAAAAAAGGAAAAGACACTAAATTTAGAGCTTCTAAATTTGTGTGCATTCATAAATCGCTGTTGGGCTTCCCAGCAGTCTGTACAGCATCTGAACAAAAAGACAGTATACAACCTAATCTAAAAACCATTGTTGTTTGCATGCACAACTGCCACAGACTTCCAGCTTACGGAGCAGAAACGTTAAGAGTCTATCCTTTTCTGTGGAGTTTTCTGTAAGTTAAGCAATGAGAAACAGCTGTAGAATCCAGCAATAAAAATGTGTTCTAAAAAATTAAATGCATCATCCCAAAAAAATGCAAGGGAGCATTATTGCTGCGGTGAGAGCTATTTTTCTCTTGTGCACTTGTTTCTCTACTGGACACTCAGACAAGCCAAAGTACTTGTTTGTATACTTGGAAACTCCCCCATCCCGTCCTTCTTTCCCATTTTTCACTTCCTTGGTCAAACTCAGTCCTCTTATTTGAGCCGTTCAGGTTGGAGGCTATCAGTCAGACACTTCAGTTGCTCTTCCCCCAGCTTGATCTTGTCCTCAAGCTCTCGCTGCTCAATGATGAGGGCCGACTTCATTTTTACAAAGTGCTCATAGTCCGCTAAGTTCTCCTCACTCAAGTAGTTTGCCAAAATGTCAAAGACAATGCGCTCTCGACGATCCAGGTTTTCCTTCAGTTCCTTCGCATCTTCGTGTTGCTGAGTCAGCAGCTTCTGCTTCTCTACCAATGTCCGCTTAGGAGAAAAGAAAAACAGTTAAAAATTCACTGGGTTCACCAGACTGGGACAACAGCTTCAGTGTTTAAGTCTCAAGTGTGTTTTATCTGCAAGGACAAAGACATTCCTGAATTCTTAGAGAGGTGGAATATGCTTGCTCCTTGAAGTTTATTCTAATAAAATGCATTAACAAACAGGAAAAAAATGTAGTGAATCAATGAAAGATGCACCATGAATTTCTATGGGCCTCAACAGCAAACGCTTTAAAGACTACTTTACTATTAATAGTTCAAAATGGTTATATGAAACACAGCTGCCTTTGAGAAACATCCAAGTCCTCAAAATTAAGACTTCACTCAGCAACGTCTTACATCTCCAATACACAGCACAGAACTTCCACACTGTAACAGCTGTGGTTAGAGAACCCAGAAACAGACAATTAACGGAGCAATTTGTTCTTACACAGCTCCTGACACTGTGGGATTTCACAGTTCTGCTGCAATCCACACGGCTTCTCCATGAGATGTGAAGTAGCGTGGTCATAAGACATACGCAAAAGCCATAGCTGGGGCAAGACAACAGGAGGGAAGAAAACCCCCAAAAAAGCAAGCTTCATCTTCCCAAAAGGGCTGTAAACTTACTGCTTCGTGCCCTCACAACAGACAAAACAGGAAAAAGGGCGGCTGAATGGAGAAATGCACAAAGAAAGAGGCCAGGAGCTATATCCCATTCGCACCTATGTGCTAGCGTGAAGGCTGAGGAGCACCTCATCCAACTTCACCTGTCTGCACAGCAGACAGCCACACCTGAATCACTCAGCTGCACTCCTTTAGCAGTAGATGAAAAGAAACAGGAGCATTATCAATCTGCCCTATTTCACATGTCTGCCTAGAAGTGATCACCTTTTTCCAGTGACAGAGTATGGCTGGCGTACTCTGACGTCAAGAATTCCTGTACAGGCCTCTGAACTTAATTAAAAAGTGCCCCTAAGAGGTATCACCCCATAACTTTTAGCTTTGCTTCAGAGATTAATTTTCTTTGAGAACCTATGTCTTCAAATAAACCACAGTCTGTTTAAATAAGTGTGTCCATTTTTTTCATTTGGACTTTATGTTAATCACACATGATATAATAAGCCTACAGGATTTACAGAAAAGTGTTCCTGTAGACTGCAAAATAGAGTCTTTTCAAGATGGAAGTATGAGACAAAGGGGGATACAGACCAGTAAGCTTTAACAGACCTATCTGTCAAGAGCTGCACGCTTACCCTGTGCTGCCTCTTTTTCTATACACTGCACAAAGCTCAGAGGGTGAAACGCTTTCAGAGTTGTGCTTTCAATGTACTTAAAATACACAGCCTAGATTAACTCAGGATTCAAGACAGCTATGGAAGACAAGCCACACATAGAAATCACACATTATTAGAAAACCCACAGTTTAATCTTCCTTTGAGCTTATGCCAAAAAAAAAAAATCCCACTGCAAGTTGCAAGCAGAACTATCTGCTGCAAAGAGATGGAAGTACTGTTCTCCTAAATTCACCAGGGGAACCAGCAGCCAAGCCCAAACTCGGGAGCGTGGCTAGACGGCTCCCCAGGGCAGCCTTGCAGCTTCTGAGCGCACTAATTCTCAGCAGCAGCAGAATTAGACAGAATTTCATGAACACAAGAGGGCATGTATCAGCCAGCTGGTAGCTCAGCTGTAGTCACCCAAGCCTCTTGCTATCATTGTCAGCAGACACAAGAACAACCAAATGGTCAGTCCTTCAGAACAATCCCTGAGATTTACGTTGTATGGTTTCTTCTTACCAAGCGTATGGCATGGCTTTAAGATGAACATGAGTAACCGGACAGTTTAAGGAAAGTAAAATCTACTCTTGTTATGAACGTTGCACGACCCCTTACTACCCCTGCCCTTGTGGGGGTTTAGGGAATACCTAAGAGAAGTGGGATGCAGAAAGGAAGACTGCAAATAAGATACCTCTTGAGTTTGCTTTTTACCTCTGCCAAAGATGACTGACACCAGAAAGCCTATTTTGAGGGGTAAAGTGAAACACGCCATAGCAGGCTCAAGACACCATTCTTGAGGAGGTTCTTTGAGCAATGGGTAAACGGCTCACCAGGCCTAAAGGTGGAAATGGTGTCAGATGGTTTCATCTGACCGTCTTCAACCAACCAAAGCCAAGCAGAGTGCAGAAGGTTTTTTTTTGCAGTAAGCATTGCTCTGAATTCCCAGCCAAACACAGGCTACCTGAAGCTCCTCTGATGGAACAATCTTCAGCTCTTTCCATTGAGAGTCTTTCTGAAGAATTATTCACTGTTTTGAACCACAGCCACATGAAGAGGAACTGCCTCCATGCATCTGACTTCCCAGCATCCAGGTCCTACACTACTGTCCCTGGTACTTGTCCCTAGTCCTGCAGTAACAGGTCTGGTGGGTCTAGGCACCTGATCACATGTCTGGACTGCTGGTTCAGCACTTTAGGGTTCTCAACACATTCTGTCTTTGACAGATAAGGAAAATAATGAGAAGACACTGGTCTCACTGTGTGGAAGTAAGGTAGGCATTTCAGATGAAGCCCCTTTCAGAAGCTAAAGCTGAAATACCTGATACTGTTCTTTGTGGCAAAAGAGACCTATGATAGAGCACCTAATAGTCAGAATATTAATTCAGCAGTGCTTATTTGCCTGCTGACAGACTGTTTATTTAGAAAGTCTGCTGAGCTGTTGGTTCCTAGAAGTGGAAAACTATCAGAGTAATGTTTATTAGACAACATCAGTTTCAAAAAAAAAATTTTTTAAAAAGTGATCACTAGGGATATGATCCCCAGGGATAGAAGCAATCTCCCTTGTTTTGTTTATATGGTGCCTTAGTAGTACACCAAATATCATCATGTGACCTACAAAATATCAAAGGACAACCAGAAGAGCCACAGGCATCAGTTTGAATTCAAAGAAATGCACACGTAACCCTACACTGTATTTATAGTCAAAGCACCCAGGGACTCGATCCATCTGAGAAGCATCCCTGACCAACACTTTCAGATGTATTTCTGATGTTACTATGGCAAGTCTTTGGTGTCAGTGCATGAGAAGATGAATGGGGATTAAAATATGCTAGGGATTTGGATTTCTGTCAGTCTAAATTTGACAGCAGAGCACACAGACAGCTTCTGACTGCCCTTACTACACCACCTACTCACCTTCCTTTTCCACACCTAGCCAATATGCTATTTTTATCACAGCTCTCAAACTCTGTTTCCTATATGCTCACATCACCTTTCCCGAGCTCACACTCCCATCTTTCAGCCCATTAGGCAACTGCAGACACATTTAGAAAAAAAAAAAATCTAAAGAAGGATTACATTTCTTTAAGTTTCAGAAGCTTTGATCTGCCCTCTAATAACCTGTCAAATACCTTCCCTTCGCCTCAGTCAGAGAGGGGTCTGGACAGCCATGAAACAAGTATGTTTGGCAGCAGCCAGGGCCAAACAGCAAAAACACAGCTTCAGACTAGTCCCAGCACTTACTGGTTCTTATTGGTGAAACAACAGAGCATGCTGAAGAAACATAACATGAACCCATCTACAGTCCGTGGAAAAAATTCTGTTACAACACTTAGGCAGACTGCTGGCGTTTCAGTCCACAGCTACAAGCCAAAAATCCCACTTCACCTTCACTTAACTGTAGAAGCTAAACTCACTTGACACATTTGACACATACCCCCCTGCCATTTTATTTATTTTAGCCTTTAAGTTCCAAACGTGTCTACATCTCTCCTTTGGCGCAGATCTGTATCGCTAGATATCTCCTTCCCAGCTAAGGCCTGATGAGATCTGGAGCTAAACAAACTGCTGCCAGCAGAGGTGGGGTCCAACAGATAAGAGCACCTCGAATGCTCCTGAAATTTTCATATCTGCTGGGATTCCTCCACATCACTACCAGGCTATTCTGGTTGCGTAAACCATGTTTTCTATTGAAAAATCCTTTTTGCAACGCCTCCCGCCCGCCCCTCGCACCCGTTTTTTTATAAGACTTGTCCTGTCATTTCTTCCTCTTGTTCCTTGCTAGGCATTGTGGAGGCAGCTGTAGTAGCTAAGGAGCATTTTCTTTGTAACAACCGCATAGATTTTTATCAAGATCCTTGTTGAGTACAGAGAATTCGGTAAGCTTTCTGCATTACAGCACAAAGTGACACTCCTTTTCCCCTCTTGAACTGTCAGAATATTTCTGTTTGTCTCCTTTTTATGTTCTTATCAGCAGTTGCCTTCTTCCTTTAAACTTTTGCTAAGAAGTCTGTTTTCCAGTATATTGCACCCCAAAACACCACTTTTTCTTACCAAGCCACTTATATAGTTTTAGTATTCCAAGCAAAAGCAAGGCAAAAAGTTTTAAGAAATCTAAAGAAAATGGCCTTAAGAGATTTATGCATTCACCGTCCCCCATCTTGAGCTCTGCAATTTACATAAACAAAACCAAGCAAAAACCTTCACACCAGGTTCACTAAATGCAGCGATATTATGATTGGCCTTTCTCACCCGTTCTTCCGGAGAGGTATTTTCATCCAGGTTATTAAGGGCATTTTCCACCCGGGCCAGACGACCTGACAGTGACAGCAGGAGGTTGACCACTTTGTCAAGGTCGCCGATAAACATCTTGAATTTGTCGAACTCATTTGGTTTGCAGACTTCTTTCACAATGGCCTCTACCTCCTCCCCCAGTATATTGTTTGCTTGGATGTCTTCCAGAAGCGTCTCCCGTGCTTCCCTCAGCACCTGCAGCTTCCTACTAATGCTGTCAATAAGTTCTTGCTGTGGAAAATAAAGGAGATGAGAATTTATTAGCACTACTGCATACTTCCCCGCTTCTGAAAGTCATGTCAGAAATCTGGCATTTTAACACACTGAAACTCCCATGTGGCTTTGACAATGAGTGCATTACAAATAAATATGTATCTAACTATATGTCTAAGGCCTGTACCTCTGGATTCAAAGGTTCAGCATGTAGGTCTGCGATGCTCAGCTTGAGGCCTGTGTTACAGCAATTTACCTTTGTGGCATAAGATGAAGGACTTCCAGCCCCCCACCAAGCACTCCTGCTTCTTCTTTGAACAGCTTTTCAAAGCCTGCTATGGAACAGCATAAAGTACAGCGCATCCTTTTCCCTCTAAATACCAGGTCCATAATATCTTTCTGAGGAGCTACATTTAGGAAGAGAAACAGTACAGGAAAACAATCCTGCATTTTCCACACGACGCAGTTAAAACTAGGGCACTGTCTAGCTTTTTCTTCCTTTCTGCATAATATTAGCATCCCTCCAATAGCAGTCCTTCCACTCTCAGAAAATCTTAGCGTTAACAGCGCCTTACAACATTTCTGCAGGGAAATCATAATCCCCCGTGGCACAGAACAGGCAACAAAACCTACTGCTGTACCGCACAGAGCAGCCCTGTGCGAAGCTGTGCCGAAGGACCAAACAAGCACCTTTGGCTGTCGCTGTCCTGTGCCAGGCGAACACACCACCTCATCTGCAGTTTGTCGGGGTTTCTCTAGTATAACCCCCCACGGCCTGGGATGCACATGCCCTGGCTTAGAAAAAGCACGTCAGGTCCATCACCAGCAGGGCCAGACCAAGAACCCAGACCTCCTCCCTCAGTGACCTGTGCTCCATCGGCGCTGCCCGGCTACCTCCCTGCCTTTGGGCAAGAGGTCTTGTCCATTAGCTGTGTGTGCACAAGGGGTGGAAGTCGGTTCAGCTAGCCATCTACCCTAACATGGGATGAATCACAGCCTAAAAACGCCTCATTCATTTAAATGTAGATGCTATTTAGTATTCAGCTAATTTCAGGTAAGAAAAATTCTCAAAGGCTTTACTAGACATACACCTCTTAGTGCAATTTCTAAATGAAAATTACATCCCTTAAAATAGTAATTACTTCACAGCACCCCTTCAATTTTTATCGCAAAAAAATTACTCATGACATTCTTTAGGAACCCTGCTTTCTAAATGCAAATCTGATTACAAGCCTTCATGATTATCGAGAAACATACTGATAGCAACTACTGCTCTCAGATGCCACTGCACAGTCATCACTGCCAATTTATTTTAAGAACAAAAAAAAAAAAGAAAAAAAGAAGAAAAAAAAAAAAGGTCTGCCATCTTAACAGAAAGCAACTACACCCTAAAAATTTAACAGCCTTTTTGAAATTCAACACATAGATTATCTGGGCTGGTTTTCTCCTTTTTGATTTAATATACTCAGGCCAGGTTAATCTGGATTTGGGTTATCTGTTAGTCTGGGTGCCCAAAAGATTAAGGTAGTAAGCAGTTCTACAGATGCCTGCTTTACTGACTGATTAATCTGCAGGATTTGATTTTTTTTTTCCCCCTTCTCTGAATGCAAATGCAGTTTGATTTGGATTATGTAGGTCACAGTGCTATGCTCTCATTTCCCTCAGATGACATGCACATGCAGAGCGCTGCTGTTTTACCACACCAGGATACTGCTCTGCTCTATGTTACTATACCAAGTTTTTCACTTCTGAGGCTGTGCTGCAACTAACGAAAAAAACGCCGTATCTGTGCTCAACATTTACTGATCTGGGCTGACAATCCACATCAGCTCTCTCAAAGTTTCTAAAAAAAAAAAAAAAAAAAAAAAGCCATTTTCCCAGTATCATCCTATTTTGAAGTCCCCAAGCAGCTGAAGCTAGCCTCTAAAGGATTGCTTTTGCAGGTGAGAAAGCCATTAAGTACTTGCCTTTCTTTAAGACTGTCATATCTATTAAGCACTGGATTGTGATCACTGATTGCTTCCTGCCCAGGTGAAGCAGCCTTTGGATGCAGCAACTGTGAGCTCGCTACACGCTTTTGGTAACCCGCAGAAAACCCGTACTATGTTCAGCATCTACTGAGCCAGAAGAGCTCCAATCTACATCTTGAAACTGGCAGATGAATAATTTATAGCTGTGAATTCTGCACCAGTAAACAAGAAAACCTCCTCTTTTCCCAGTAATTCTTGCTGATCTGACTAGCAACACAGAAAGTAACGCAGCAGAGCGCTGCCCAGGTGGTTCGCTGCTTGGCATGCTTTATGTAAACTGTGCTGCTCTCAGCTCACCACCCCGTTTCACACGAAGTTCGGGTCTAAAAGCAGAAGAAATTCGGTATTCTTCAATTATTTTTACTCTTCAGCAGTTGCTGAAACTTTCCTAAAGGCAAAGGAGACACTTCCTACTCAGCCACACATGGATCTTCCTTACTACAAAAAAACACTCTTGTAGTGTATTCAACCATCTGTTCAGTATTTTATAATTGTAGTAAACCTACGTTAAACACAGTACGAGACACACATTCCATTCC